TTTTTTTTTTCAGAAAAGAGAAGGATTACACCGTTGACTTTACTCTGATGAAACAGAACGACGGGCTTGCCTGTCATCAAGCTGTTTTCGCGGAATTACCTGATGGTGCTGAAATTGACATAGAGACTCTCATGAAATCGGTAGGCACAACGCATTCTACCCTTGAATGAATCTTCTTCACTTCACATTTTAAGGAGCGTGAGTCTGTGTGGACTACCGCTGAGACATCTCGATTGCTGATAATTGTAGTCAGTCTGCTGCACAAATCGTTAATTCATCATACTGCTGCTCATACTATACTCGCATTTGTTGCGCGGCTCACCAGAGACTCGAATTGCGCTGCAAACTTCATTCAGGTTATCATTGTCTTCGCTCTTTGCTTTCTTTTATGTGCGGCTTCGCAGTCACTACTCATTTCAGCAAGGTGGTATCGCGGCTGTCTTACAGCTGCGTTGTTCTACAACACCATCAACTTCTGTTCTTACATCACTGATCATCAGGCAATGTATAGATGATGAGAACATGATGGCACAGGTTGGTTCAAAAAGTCTTTTTCGAGGAAATACGCTCTCATTTGCTCCCAAATAGGTGATGGAGAAGAGTGTACGCGTCGTTACGAATCCGGTGCAGTCTACTCCTCTATCAGAGTATCTTGGAATGTCGGAAAATAAACCTAAGGATTGGTGTGAAACGCTGAATAAGCTTTCACCATTGTCTACAAGGTATGCCTGGTTTTAACCTTAGCAAATACTGCTAATACATGTCGATTGAATTTCCAAGGCTTCCACTCCCAAGTGTTACCGGTCATCTTCCAACATTAATGCCGTCTTATGACTCTAAGTTAAATAGTGATACTTAGCACCTAGTCATAGCAAGGGCACATCGAGTACGCCCAATTGGCACATTCTGGGGAGCTAGGATGCAGCATCGGTTGTGGGGGCTGCAACGAGGCCTGGAAGTACCGAATTGATGAGTACAGAATAGCATTGGCCAACTGCGCTGCTTACCCATTTTTTTACGGTCACGCGCTCAGTAATCAGAGAGAAATACTCCCTACTTCTAGATGGGTGGGGTTGAGACGCCTTATAAGGTCCCTGACAACAGAAATTATGGAAGTGTGAGAAACTCATAATATCAAGTCGAATGTCAGCGCAAGGTTGAATGATCGTTCACCCCAACAATAAGTTCTACGTTTCACTTTATTGCAACAACCCCGTTCTAAGACCTCCTTCGCCGCTGGCTTGATGATAGACATAATGTTACTCGTTACTATTAAACTATTGTAATTCAAAATCAGAGGAGGGCAGAAAAGAAAAACAGATAACCAAAAAATAGAATCAGAGGAGTAAATTTGGAGGGATTTTCTTCAGTAGAATATAAAGTTGCAGGCTGTAGTATAAGGAATGAACTTGATCAACACTGAAGTGCGGCATTTAGTTGATATCGCTTGGTCTTCATGAACTTTTCTTGGTAAAAGTGCGTGAAGCAGAATGTTCGATATTGTGATGAGGCGCTTCTTCTTGCATTTAGTTATTCAGAACGCGTACTTGAATTTTTTCTGAATCGCTTAGTATCCTTGAGTAAGAAGACGAAACAGCTGTTACTCATCTTTGGTTTCAACAGGGCTCCCGCCATTTTCGTGAATACAATGGAAAAGTGTGCGAAATTGGATGGTACCTTGATGGTTTCAACTTCATCGAAGCCTCATTTCTCAGCTCCTACCAGCAATGAACGAACGCAACAGGTAACGTTCTTTTTAAACCATTCGGAGTTTGAATTTCGATTTTCCCTTCATTAAGATTGTCCAACTTCTGCTTCGTGAATGCCTCCATGGTGAATGGCCATCAGAAAGTAGCGTTCCATTAGGACACACTAGAATGGTACGTTAGAGCCTTCAAGGTGGTCTGTTTACAAGAGATTTTATCTTGGATGGCGTTACCTTTACTCATTTTCCTTGCAGATAAGTCGAGGAGCCATATTGAGCCTATTGGCCGAGTTAGTCAAGTCGTACCCCGGAGTTGCCTCATTGATATGCGAAGCAAAAGAAGATGGTCAAAGCGTTATTCATCAACTAATTGAGCATTTCATAGATGGATCACAGGAGAAAGTAAGTTTCGACGCATCTTTCAAGTCTGCTAGAACCTAAATTGGTATTAGTTGGTACCCATCTCTATTTCATGTTTTCAGGATACACTTGGCTCGTTAAAGACGCTGATCTCCATCTTAGCGGCGTGCAATCACTCCCCCAAGGCGCAGGAATCGCTTGTGTCTGATATGAAGGCGTCGTTGGTCGCTGTTGGAAACTCGTCGCTTTCTTCGTCGGCAATCTGCAGCAAAGTATGTCCTTGTACTTTGTCGCTTCGAAAAGTTATTTCAATATATTCGACTTCAGATCACGGAGTTGTGTTCGTTACTTGTAATGATGCTAGATTCATGCCCGTCCTCTTTGGCTTCTTTGTCCCACTCGCATCACCGCCATTTACTCAGCGGAGCACCGAGTTCTATAACAAAGTTATTCCACAAAAAGAGAATATGCAATGATCTTGTAAAAACGATAACTTACCTGCAGCTATCGCAAAAGGTACGCTTAATAATCCCTTGGAATTGTCAGTCACATAGTCCCAACATTTCAGGAGGCTATCGATACTGTAAACACTGTGCTGAAAACGCTTGAAACACTGATGAGAAGTACGACTACGTCAAATTCTTCTTCTAATGCTGCAAGCATCACTCATGGCGCTAGGAACGTTGCACGAGCTCAGGCAAGTGATAGTGGACGGATTTTAAGAATTTTCCCATGGTTAATGCTCATAGAAATTGGACATTTTCTTCATGGCTTTCTCACGCACTTTGTTGAATGCTCGAATTTCTGCCCACATTCTGTAGCAAAATGTGCAGTTTTATGTGTAGCACTTTGATGAGATGCTATTCTTCAGGCTGTAATCAATGCTGCTGTCGCTGATGCTGTAAGAATACCATCACCAAGCAATAGCAGGGATGCTGCTTTGAGTCATGCCATTGATTTGGGTTTGCTCGCCAACAATCTGCTCAGCGATGCACGTGAATTGAGCACCGAACAAGACGATAGAAACGATCAGGTTGGCGTTGTCATTTGATGTTCAGTGACCTAATAAAGTATAGAAATTTTCCACAAATACTTGTAGGCTCCTCGAAAAAATGTTTTTCTAGATGCTTGTACGTGTTAGTGACAATGCGTATCTCAGCGATAATGACCAACCTCAGGAAAACGACCATCATCGCAGTGAAGTGATGGATGAGGAAATGGATGAAGAAGCGGTGGGAGCTCTTGACTTGTTCCAAATTGCGCGTTTGATAAACGTCGTTCCCTTTAATTATGTTCGTTTTAAATGCCATTTGTTAGATCCAGGTCGAAGACTCAATGTCATCTGGTGAAGAAGATAACGAAGACAGAACTGTTGAGGATGAAGAAGGGGATGATCGCGAGGAAGATGACACCATGGATGGTGAAGATCAGGATGATGAAGAAGAGGAAGATGATGAAGATGGACGGAGGGAAGGCGATGTGCAAGCTACTGTTAGAGTGGATGCAGAAGAAAGTGGTGAAGATGGAGAGGAAGAGGAGGAGGACGATGATGAAGAGATGTATGATTATCCCGAAGAAGATGAAGATGCTGTAAGCGTTTTTTTATTGTGTTGCATGTTTGTCTGATATTTTATTTGGCTGTGTTACAGTTGCACGACATGACATTTGATTTACTCGATCGTCCAGGATTGTCTTCCTTCGGATTTGACGACTTTATATTCGGCCCTCCTATTGGAATAAACAGGTGAGTGGTCTTCGGGAATTCAGATTTTTCAGTTATTTCTTTTCTTCAGTTTTCTCTTTGTTTTACCTGGAAACTGATTCAGAGAGCATCGCGGGGCTCGTAGAGAACAGTCAAGTGCTGGCGTACATCCTCTAATGGTAAGGCCGGCTCACATTGCTGATTCGCAACCGTCACATAATCAACAATCTGCGCCTACGGTCAGTCGGCTAGAACGCATTGCCAGGGTGAATTTTGATTTTCTTCTGTCGCTTTCGACAATCCTCTTCATGAAGGTGGTCAAGTGGTTGTCTCTGAGGTGTCGGATAATTTTGATTCGGAGTATTCGGTATCAATTCATTTTGTTACGATTATTAGGCTTCGGACATTAACCAATATTTCTGTACTTCTAACACCAGACCAAACTTTTCTTGTTTTTTTTTTCTTGAACTTTTCATTATTTCAGTTGGGCAACTATCGCAGTCTTTTGTTGGATAGTGGAAACGCGGGAATACCAGTAACCCTGACTCGGCAAAACGCTCTCCGTCGAATCGGCGGTGCGGACCGTGGTCGTGTTGGTCCAACAAGCCAGTTCTTTGACAGGCTATTTGACTTGCATGCACGTGACCGTGGTGGCCCATTAATGAATATGACAGCAGGACGAATCGTAAGTATGGTCAGTCGCGTTGATTCAATTACAACTGACATGTTTTCTGAGATTTAGCCTGAGAATATGTCTTTGTCTTAGGGATCAAATTTGCTGGACAGTCCAGAAGAAAGGCGGATGCGCCAGCCAGCGTCTGCACCTTCGGCTCTTGATCGCTATACTGATGGCGCTGATATGATGGATGGTGTATCAATGCAATATGTCGCTATAATTATAAATACCATAGTGACTCGTGTTGCTAGAAAACGTGTTGAAGAGGTATAACACTAAAGCAGGGCTCTGTTAGCTATTTATTGCTATTTTTATTCTTGTGTTCAGGAGAAGGCTAAAGAAGCGGCAGAGCAAGCAGCCAAGAAACTCCTCGAGGAAAGCAGCAAAGGAACCTCTGAAAGTGCACCAAAGGCAAATGAAGAGACGGGTAGCTCAGCGGCTACAGCTACTGTCTTGGCCCATCCTCCTACTGAAGTTGCTCGGCAAGCATGGGATGAATCTGCCTTGGCCAATCGCGCAGAAGACGTCAACACAGCGATGAGTACTGGAGACAGTGTAGCTAATGGAGACACCCCTTGTTTACCGGTAGTCGAAGGAGAAGCCATGGACACGTCAGGTATTGGTTTCTTTGTGAAGGTGTTGCTCCTCATGTACCGAAATTAGTTTTATCTTACGATATTGCGGGACCACGTGTTTTCGCTTTCCCTTCCCTAATGTAGCAGCGTTTATTTTTGTAATAAAATCTTGTACTTACCTACATAAGACCCATGGCGACATCCACGCTCATTATCTTTTTTTCAGAAGCATTTGAACCCCGTGATGTCGAAGCAGACGTGTCCATGGACGAAGCTCCGCCGCACTCCTCTGCTGCAACTGTCGCTTCTTCTCTACCTGAAGCAGAAGCCGATGAGGAGAGGATGATAACTCCTCCTCTTCCTGCTGTCTCGAATGTAAATAATGTAGGGGAGGAAACAAGGGATGCTAGCGACAGGTTCGCGATTGTAGTATGTCATAAAAACGCCATTTGTTTGTCGATGGGCATTTCAAAGTTACATTCCAGATCTGACAACTCTGGTCACACCGAAACTACAACAGATGAACCTTTGACGAATGGCAATGCAGCCAGAGCTGCTACTGAAAATAACTCTATTCCAGAAGAAATTCGCGAAATACTTGGTGGTTGGTTTTCGATTCTATAGGTCGTGTTTTGTTATCTGTGCATTTGCACTGAATCCTATATTTGCAGATATTGAAATACCTGACGGTGTCGATCCTGCATTCCTTGCTGCACTGCCAGAGGATATGCGTGCAGAAGTTATTCGTGATCATCGTCGACAGCAACGTGCCCAACGCGCTGCTCAAGTTCCAGCTACGGTTCCTCAGCAGGTGTGTTCACCTTAACTTATGTTTCATTGTTTCTACTTATTGCTGGAACGTGCACAAATGAGTACGCAAAGTAGAGTCGCCTTCAAAAATGTGATGGTTTAGTGGTTTTCAATGACTCCAGTGATAACAGAATAAAGGTTAAGCAAACAAAATAGTAGCTGCGGATGTTGCTCCTATTAAAACATTGTAGATCGCTAAAAATCTTTATCTATTACGACATACAACCTACGTTTCGCCTTTGATGTTGGTCGAGGTATAAGTACGGACCATGCATTTCGGTGATCCCGTTTGACCCAAATAAAATGTGCAGTTCGAGGCAGTTTGAGGCAAAAATTGCTACCAGAGGTTGAGTTGACGTGGAGTTTCTTGGTCAGTGTCGTTACTTTCGGTGAAGTACTCGCGGCTTCTGGGAAAAAGATAGCCGTCAGTGCCAATACGCATCTTCCCTTGTTCCATCCCAAAACTGTTTTCTGTGGTTTTGTTCTCAAAATGTTCTTTGTCTATTACAGGGAGATGGCAGCGGTGAAGGTGCTTCGAATGTTGTGCCAATTGTCGAACCCCTAGATCAGGAGTTCCTTGCTGCTTTACCACCTGAACTTCAAGAAGTATGTCCGTTGAAAATATTCTGTAGTCCTTCATTTCACATTGTTCCAATGTTTAGGAGATTCTGGCTCAACATGAACGGGCGGTTCGTGATGCTGAGGAGGCGGTGCGTCGAGCGAACGCGCCAGCTCCACCTGCAGCTCCGGAACCTGAAATGGATGGTGCGGCTGTGATTGCATCACTTCCTCCTCATGAAAGAACGCAGGTATGCATCTGATATCAGATACTTTCAGTAAAGAGAAATTGAATGGCAAGGCACATGGAGCCGTGAAATCAAATTTCGTTAAAGGTACTAGCCGAAATGGAAGAATCCGAACTGCAACGTCTCCCCACTGAGATGCAGGAAGAGGCTCGACGTGCTCGTGCTAATCTTGAACCAGTACGTTTGCATTGATGTCGTTGCTATTTTAAAATCATTTAAAAGTCAGGACTTCCGAGTGTAACAGCTCGAGAAGAGCTGCTTTTTAAATGACATTAGATGCCTGTTGCTGTTCATCAAAATCGAAGGGATTCATTTAGTTACAGAACATTCTTCGCTTCCGCCATTTGTTGATGCCATCTTCGGCTCGATCGCGAGGCCTTCGTTCGAACGTAAACTTGGCTGGTTTTGGGGGTGGATTTGGAGGGATGGGTGCCAGTGGAAGCCATGGGGCCGGCAGCAGCGGCACTCCGTCTGTTGGCAGCCTAGCTGGACAAGCAAACACCGCTAGTACTCAATCACTACAGCTTCTTGATCGGGACTCAATACTGATCCTCACAATGCTGTTCTTGGTCGACAGTCGATTGAGCAACGGTCGTTTACAGAAGGTAATTTTCAAATATTTTTTATTATGAGACATTATTCAAATCTTGAGTTTTCTGTAAGCTCTATTATTAATATTCAAGGGGCTCGTATTTCGCTGTCGTTTTCAGTTCAGCAAAAACATGAAACCACTGTAAAATTCTACGTGACAGACTTGGGAAAATAACGAGTAGTGGCGACAGGTTTGAGGGCAAAGCATATGGGGTGCTGTGTGATAACCACCATTTTTTTTTTAAAACGATAAGGATCTGTCGGGTTGGAAAGAGAAGTAAGAGCTGTTGTTTGTAAGCGATATGGCTGGCTAGTGAAGTTTGGTAATAGTAGAAACCATGAAGTTCCATGCTCGTTCTATTCCCTCAACTTCTTTTCCAAAACCTATCGTTCTCTCTCGCAGTTGACAAGATATACTCTTAGGGTTCTAGCATCTTTTTTTCACCGAAAATTTTTGAAGTGTTGCAGCTTAAGATGTTATGTAATACGGAGTTATTGAAAATTCAGGTTATCCGACTCGCTTGCTCACATGCTAATACTTGTGACTTTGTTATATGGTGTCTCCTGGCCCTTCTTGAGAAAGCTCACGATTCCGCTCCTGATCATGAAGAGGCGAGTTACCATAGCATCTTCGTTTATCTATCGTGTCTTAATTAATCTGCGCCAGTAGAGCCCTTCATTTTACAGCTAGTCTCCGTTTGTCCATCATGGCTTGATTCTATAACTGTCTCTGGTGTAGGTCACAACGAGCGTGCGCTAAAGATTGCTAAGAATGTGTCTAGAGGTTAGCTTTTTCACTCTACTTATTTTTGGTCATCCTGTTGGTAACAGCGGTAATTATAAGAACTTCAGTGGCTATACATCCTTTACTCTCGCCTGGTCTTTCGAAAAACGTGCTCGACAGTCTTGGTACTATCGCAAAGACGTATCCTGGACATTTCCTTCCATCTAGTCTTCGAAAAACATCACAACAAGCGCAGTCCAAAGAAGGAGCATCGGAAAGCTCACCAGCTCCTGTTCGTGATGCGAGTCCCCCACTTGAGGTGTTTTGGGAACTGGTACAGGTATCGCAGAGTGTCTTATTCGAGTTATCTTTCGTGGTTCCATGTGCTTATTCTTACGCAGCTTCTTATAACCAGAATTTGCAGGCATCATCTTGTAAATCCCTTGCTGCGAAGGAGGCGCGTGAAAGTGCCGAGCGTATGTCTCTGGAGAGTTCTCACATGGGACGTCTTATGCGACACCTCAGCAAAAATTTAGTTGCTCAAAATGGACAAGTTCAAGATCGTTTACTACGTGTAATTAGTTCGGTGAGACTTATGTGAATTACGGCAAAAGTTGATTTTTAGATTTTTCGGATTAAATTGAATTACATGAATTCGTGTATGGAAAGTAGCTTTGCAGATTGTGCAAACCTTGCCGAATGACACGATGGCATTATTGGGTAATCTAGAGGGTCCAAAGCCATTAGAAAGTCAGTTGAAAGCCGTCATCGACGTCCTCATGCGTGGATCATGTAGCAATGAAGGCCTTGCTGACGGGCGGTTTGTCGTTTTGAATTTTCTACCAGAAAAATTTTTTCTATTTCATCTACACCTCGGCATCATTATTGTTTTGTTACTTTATAAATCATAGATGTTTTAGTACATTGCTCGTTGAATGCATGCGTGCGCTTCCTCCCTCCATAACGGACACCATCTATGAGCAGCTGTTCACTGCAGTGCAAAACGTTGGGCTAGAGTTACAACCACAGGTCACTCAATGTTTCATCGAATTTCGAAATTGAATGATCTTCAGGTAAAACTTCTGATTTTAGATCGAACGGCTTATCGAAGAACTAGGTGAACCAGAGACCAATGCTGTAACGGAAGATGTTCCATCCACCAGTAAGGCTCCGCCAACCACATCTAATGCAGATTCAAATGCTGCTGATGCATCGATAGAACGTGACAGACGGCTGGCACGCACTAGAATAGGACGTTTGGTTCTTGATGCGGAATCTGGCGGTCGATTCGTATGTTTTCTTCTTTTCTTCGCGGATTCTCCTACTTTTCAGCACTGATTTAATTTTTAGACATTGAGCGCAAGTTCTTGCCCTGAACTTCAACTGCCGGCAGTAACTATGTTAACAGACAAGTCTGGTGCTCAGTATAAGCTTTTGAGTGCTCTGCAGACATTGTCTAAAATACGTGACACTATGCGCCAAATGAAGGAAGAACGCCGCAAAAAGGAAGAGCTGGAGAAGAAAAAGGTAGATTCTTGATGATGTTTCCGCTGAATTCTTGATTATCATTTTCCTTCCAGAAAGAAGAAGAAGCCAAGGCTGCGGAAGCCAAGCAAAGCGGAGAGGCTAAAACAATTGATCCTGTTGCTGTTGAGGAACCTGTGGCAGCAACATCAGATACATCAGACCCCGCTGCTGCCCCGGAAGGATCAACTCCTATGTCCACATCTACAAGTGTCAATAATGAGGACCAGCCTAAACCACCGGTAGAGGAATCCAACGAGGATGTGGTGCTGAGTCATCGTTTGACTGGTCTTGAAGGTTAACTTTAAATTGACTTGATGTGGTTTTTTTTTCGAAAATTCATAGGGAAATTTGATTTTCTAGAACTTTGGGAAGTCGTATCAACGTGTCTCCTCCGCCTTGGTAAAGCATCGGATCATCATGCTGTGCTCGCACTTCAACCTGCAGCGGAAGCTTTCTTCCTAGTTCACGCGGTACCACGTCCTGCCAACGTCACAAGTGACCATCATCACGACGATCCCGATACCCTAAAAATGATCGCATTCGCAGGTACTTGATGTTCATACTAATTATGACTCATTGGACGTTGTAAACTCCTCAAGTTCTGACTCCATATCCTTTTCAGAAAAACACCGAGAAGTCCTCAATCAAGTACTTCGACAAAACAATTCCGCATTGTCGCCGGGTGGTCCATTCGCTGCCCTAATCCAATTCCCAAAATTGTTGGACTTTGATGTCAAGAGGAAGTACTTCAGAAAGGAGCTTGGAAAGATGGATGGAGATAGAGGGTAAGAATACCGACCCGCTCCCTTTTTTCTCGATACTCTTGATTATATCGTGCTTATTTTTCAGGTTCCGTCGATCTGACGTACAAGTCCAAGTTCGAAGGTCACAGATATTCTCTGATTCCTTCCGGGAATTGTACAGGCTGAGACCAAATGAGTGGAAGCATCGCTTTTACATTATCTTCCAAGGTACATGTTGTTTGTAATGTAATAGGCGAAACTTATTGGTTATGAATAATTTTGTAGGCGAGGAAGGCCAAGATGCTGGTGGTCTACTTCGTGAGTGGTTCTCAGTGATCACGCGAGAAATATTCAATCCGAACTACGCGCTTTTCATCACGGCACCAGGAGATATGGTCACATATATGATTAACAAGGCCTCCTACATTAATCCTGAACATCTGGATTACTTCAAGGTACAGATTATAGATTTTTGGATACAAGGAACTTACCTCATCATCTCCTACACTTTCTTTTAGCTCGAGAATTTCTCCTTACTAGGCAAAGTGGAATCCCACTTTTTTTTTGATGTTTCATAATGTTCATGCTTTTCATGTTTTGCTGCCTTCTTACGTTTTTTTTTCTTGTTTCCCATAGTTCCTTTCAGTTTGTGGGACGGTTGATAGCCAAAGCCATTTATGACAACAAACTTCTGGATTGCTATTTCACACGTGCCTTCTATAAGCACATCCTCAATCTACCTGTGCGATATCAAGACATTGAGAGCGAGGTAAGTGTGCGCTATATATGACTCCGTTCTTAAAGAGCAAAGTATTTCTTACAGGATCCTGCTTTCTACAAATCACTCGAGTTCTTGCTCAACAATCCCATCGATGATCTGGGGCTGGATTTAAGCTTCAGTCTTGAGGTATTTCGGTGACTATTTATTCGTATCTATTCCTTACTATATGTGATTTTTAAGGTGGAAGAGTTTGGTGTCCGTTCAATCCGCGATTTGAAACCGGATGGAAGAAAAATCGACGTGACGGATGCGAATAAAGAGGAATACGTCAAGCTTGTCTGTCAAATGAAAATGACAGGTTCGGTATTTGTTTCATTCCCGGCTCTGTCGTCGTTCTTCCATTATATTTTCATTGAAAGTTCATTTTAGGTTCTATTCGAAAACAGCTTGATGCATTCCTTACCGGCTTCTATGAAGTGATTCCTAAACAACTGATCAGCATGTTCAATGAACAAGAACTCGAGTTGCTCATAAGTGGTCTCCCTGATGTGGATATTGACGATTTGTCAAATAATACTGAGTACAAAATGTATACAAAAACTAGTGCACAGGTGTGACGTCTTCTATTTTATTCGTCCCCGATCCTCGAATGATCTCTGAGTTCATTAAGATTCAATGGTTCTGGCGTGCACTTAGATCGTTTGAACCAGAGGATCGCGCAAAGTTCCTGCAGTTTGTCACGGGTACCAGCAAGGTAGGTGGTCATACGTCATCTCTGTTTTCTGGTTCTTATGTGTGTCCTGCAGGTGCCTCTACAAGGGTTTGCAAGTCTAGAAGGAATGAATGGTATCCAGAAGTTTAGTATTCACATGGATTGCCGTGGTGGTGATCGCCTACCTGCCGCTCACACATGGTATGACGTCTTAGAAGTTTTTTACCCATTTCTTTATGAAGCTATAATATTTTCCGCTTAAGTTTCAACCAGCTCGACCTTCCTCAATACGAGTCCTATGAGAAACTTCGTGATTCTCTACTGATGGCTATTCGCGAGTGCACTGAAGGCTTTGGATTTGCTTAAAATACTTGACTATATTGTATTCGAGGCCTAGGTACTCAATGTTGTTTAACTAAAACATCATCCTGGTGATTTGTAAATAATACAGATGATACGATCTATGTACAATTTCGCTTTTTAAAACTTTTCTTCGGCGGGTTTACGTGCATAAATTCGCATAGACACTACCTAATTGTGTTGGAGAAATTTCCTCTGAGATTTAGGAAGAATAGCTGGTAATGAAATTGAGGTATGGTTCCATTACGTGCATGCATATGTGATGTTGCTCTTGGTCAATTTCAAGTGTCTGGCTCTCTGAGGCGCATTTTTGGTGTTGCTTTCCGATTCATATACATTCTAGATTGTTATTATTCACTGTATGTACGGTTAAAGTGTATTAGAGTAATTAATTGGACCCTCGAACATAAAATAAATGTTAACTGAAAGTTTCGCTCAAGTGTTTTTCCTGGCTATGGTAATAGAAACCAAGATACCTGAGAATATTCATGCAGAGTATTCGCATTTACGCTTTCAAAGCCCAAGTAGTTACTGCATCCGAATGAAGCTGGTCACACAGAACAAGTTTTGTCCTTTTTGTATGTTACACTCCTTCAAGAGATTCCCGCAGGTCATTTCTAAAGGGTACGATCAGAAAATGGCGTCGGTCAGTGTGCAGGATTGTAGAGGAAGTTGGATGAATTGTAAGAGCAGTGATGGGAATGACTGGCTTAGTTGGATAGTTGACGGAGTTGAGAGTGGTCGGGGTTTGACGCGTATTAGGAAAATCCTTTGCTATCCTTTTGCGTGTTTGGGTTTGTATCCTTCTTGAGATCGTTTAAGCGCTTAACTTTCATTCGGAATAGAGCTCGGAAGCGAGGGTGCATTCCGAAAATAGTTTCGGGCTGGGATGAACATTTTGAACTAGCATAATAATCCATTTTTCCCTACTCTTGTGCCATGGCCCCAATTTCGGAAGAAATGGTCGTCTGCCTGGTTTATTGATGGGCCTTTGTAAAGGTCATCCTTATCCCGAAATAAATGGATTCTCTCAGGAGGGGCAAAGAAATTTTTGGAATCGCGAAACTGACTGAAAACTTACAAATTCTCCACTGCTAGGTGTGAGGTGGTCTTCAAAACAGGAGGAATTGTTTTCGTTTGATTCCGTTCGCCGCTAGCATACAAAAATCATCATTTCAGATTTTTTTCCATCCACCCTTCCTCTGTTTTCACAATTATCATGGTTATACAGAAAATTTCTTTTGTTCATTCTTGATGTTGTCGTCTTGCAGTTCCTAGCCGATCTCAGATGCTCGAAACATGAGCTCTGCGTTAATTCTACGATTAAGCAGTAGTGGACTGACCCGCCGTCTTCATGTTCCACAGATCACTTATTCTCCGCGGCTTCTTCTGAGCAAATCAATAGATCACAGGTAATCTCATTCTATTTTAAAAGGGCTTGGAATCTTTCATATGTTCCTTTGGTTGGTTGGTTCACAGACCAGAAGGCAAAATTTATATTGGTTATGTTTATAGGTGGTTATGTGGGGTCAGAAACTTTGCGGATAAAGGGAGCAAAATCACCAAAAGTCCAGAGCAGACGAGCTTACAGCGGTCAGTTCTTGAAGAAGTGCTCATCAAGGAGAAACCAAAGCCAACAACTTTTACCGGAAAGGCATGTTTTAGAACTTATACGATTGATGTACAAGTAAATCTTTGAAATTATTTTGATTTTTTTGAATGCCATCTAGCCTCTATTTGTTAGCGAAACTTTTAGTATACGGTAACTATGCATTCCTTGAATTCGAATATTAGCATGATTGTGGTCCTTTCTTCATTACTGGTTCTTCAATTTGCAGGTTGCAGAAAAGGCGTCAAATACCTTTCTATATGCGGCAGTTGTAGCCGCGATAGGCATGTTGGGTGTTTTTGTTTACCTTCTGGCGGGTGAATTTTTTGCAGAAGATAGTCCTCAGAAGATCTATAGCAGGTGAGGTGAAATCGATGTAATGGCTTTCATAGAGTAGTCCATATCCTCTGGTTAATTTCCAGCGCCCTTGCCTTGGTGAGAGAAGACGGCCGGTGTCAAGACCTCTTTGGACCCACAATAGCTGGTTTCGGTGAGGAGACCTCCCGCGGTCGACGTCGTCATGTCGCTCATCATAAGTATGAGAAAGATGGAAGGCAACGTATTCGCGTTCTTTTCCATGTGAAGGTATGGGAATTTTGTTCCGTTAATAATTGTTGATTATTGCTTGTTTTGCAGGGCGAACGCGATGAGGGTATTGCACAAGCAGAAATGGAACAACGAGATGGTGAATGGCAGTGGCGATTTCTATATGTAGAAAACAAAAGAAGACCCAAAACCACTCATGTTCTGATCGACAACCGATAATGAGCTGCCGGGCGCCTATAGTCATACAATAGAAGATTTACTAGGAGTATAAGATTAAAGTATTTCTCCGTCGGTGATTTTAAGCTTATGCGTGTGCCGAAGAATGTCACGTCAGGAATGAGGTAACAACACGGAATGTATATGCCGGTATTTTACATTGTCGTCTTTTTATGTTTTGTATTTTGTTGAAATGAGAGTTTTACTTTTTTGCGTGTTCTGTGTGATTATTTTGGTTCATCCACTGGCGATTCATGTAGTTTTTAGTATTCTATTCCTTTCTTTATTTTATTACCGACTTCATTCTCTCGAAGGCCTTTTTAGATGGAAGATGATGGTTTTAAACTAGTTAGAAGTAGAAGAAAGTGTTCACGGTTGAAGAAAACTGCCGTCAAATCTGTTGATAGGATTGAAGGTTCTGGAAACGATATTGAGGCAGCGATGGAGAGAGCTGATTCAAAAATCGAAGAGAGTGGGTTAGGGTATGTTACCAAGTATCCTTTTTTTGAGTTTCATGCTCATCATATGAACTTATTTCAGTTCGTGGATCATCAACAGTATTCGCTTATTTCTTGATAATCGGCGCGTCTTGCGAGTGTATTTGATAGGAAATGGTCATTTCGATGCGCCGTGGGAACCCGGTGCTCACCAACTTGCTCTTATTCGCAGAATATGCCGTGCATTCGATGCAGAAATGATTTTTCAGGTAGAAATTGCTTTTGAGATACTTTTAAACACTAGCTATCGGTTTTTTCACTTCAGGAGCCTTGCATCAGTGCTGCTGAGCAAAAATGGCTGAGTCTACAAGAGGGAATCGTGATACGAGATAAACCTGATGTCTGCTTCGACATAATCGGCACTGACCACGGTTGTATAGGAATTGCCGTTTTGCTACATGGTGTACATAGTCTTTTGAATGATTTTCTTGCCTTTAACTGGTCATCGAATTTACACGAAATTCTTATTCTATGTAATGACTATAGGGATATTGACCTCATTGGTGGGACAGCCGAAACTAATGCAGAATTTCCTGTCCTTAACTTTTACCGTGAGCATGCTAGGTTTGTTGCCTTCCCTGAGTATAGCCCCAATCCTCAGTTTTTTCATAACTCGTCTTTGGCATATCTTGTAACGGGTACTTCTCTGCCAGAATTGACCTCTATTGATTGTTGATTTCTTTGTTGCTAATGAAAAATTTAAACGATAAAGCTTTCTTCAATGTTTTGGCTTGTTCAGAATGTTCCTAACATGCCTTATATTTTGGGATCCCTCACGTGCATACTTTCTCTTGTTTACGATGAGGTTTTACAGTTGCTTTGAAACCTTTATTTAGGGTGTGATTCATAGATGTACAGTACACAATGAAGACGTTGTTAGCCGAGCTAGCTCTTTTACGAGTTACTGCACAAGGATCACAGGTAGGATTATTATGTTCAATTCATCTGTGCTATGGTTCCGAGGTTTTTCCCGAAAGTCCAATGTATATGTTGCTTATTGTTGAGATCTGACGTACATGGTTTGCTGTGGGCAACGCACAGCAGCCCGAATTTTTGTAGGACGGCTTTCCCATGCACTGTTAATTGTGCTTTAATGTAATTTTCCGAGAAGCGGTTCCAAAAAGTGAATCAGAAATCCACTTTTTGGTGCTGCGCCAACTTTTCTAGTTCGGAGTGGGTGGAATGGATTGCTCTTTTTTTGGAAAAATATCAGATCAAGTTTTTGGAGTTACAGCAGTGACGTTGATGTGTATAATGTGTGAATTTTTAGACTATTGTGTCAGTTTCGTATAGTTTCAGGTTGTGGCAAAGCGTTTCCTCCCAGCAAGAGGTACGAAGCCCCTGCCTCGTTATCTTTGGGACCTCGAAGATTTAAAGAAGAAAAGTGGTGGAGGTTACACTCATGAGCCATTACGAATAAATCGGTTAGCCATTTTTGTGGTCAAGATTCATTTCATCATAAGAATCTGCATTTAGGCTTGGAGGTCGTCATCCAGAAACAGGACGTAAGATTAATCAACACATAGGTGGTGGAACGAAGTTCGATTACTTCATGATTGACTATCACAGCAGGTTCGAGTAATGACATGTTTTTCTCTCTTGACCTTACTTATTGAATGCTGCTTCTCTGGTCCTTTTGTAGTCTACTTTCCGGTTGAGCTGGATCCACAACTTCCTATTTCTCAGAGAAATATTCGGTAAAAATACGATGTTAAAGTTTGAACAATGATCGACGCAACCTTAACCTTGGAAAGGGCGTCGCCTGACGAATATGCTTGGCTTTGACCTTCCCAGGATCGCAAAATCTCAGTAAGGCTAGAGCCAGCATACTCACGATCTGGAGGGTTGTTTTTTTTATGTTGACCAAGAATTAAGTCTATCGACAGTTAGGG